TGCTTGGTTCTGATTTCATATGACAAGGGTTCAGGATGAGTGCAATTAAGTAAATATACCAATAGGCTCAGCACAGAAGGTTGCCTGGGCACCTATTTGTAGGACCTGAATTTTGAGATATGTGTTAGCTGCCATGCTCACATACACCAAGTCAGATTCTGAGCCAAATCCTGGCTTTTCCATTTGCTAGCCAAATTGCCTCAGATGAGCTGTGTACCTTCTTTGAGCTTAATTTATTAAAATAGAGAGTTTACAGTGTGGTAATGAAGATTAGGTAAAGAAATACAAATAATCGGAAAGAATTGGTGCCTAGTGAATAATTATCAATCAATAAACGTTAGGTGCTTGTGTGGTGGCATTGATGATGGGGATGGGCTACACATGACTGTATCCTTGCACAGATGAACAGTTGGTCTCTCTTGCTTTCACTCTTGACACAGGCCACCATTACCTCTTTCAAAGTCGATTCTTTATACAGCAGCCAGAGTGACTCTTAAAAAACATACAGTAGAGGAGCTCAGCGGTAGAGTGCTCACCTGGCATGCGCGAGGCCCTGGGTTCAATCCTCAGCACCACATAAAAATAAATAAATAAAATAAAGGTATTGACAACTACAACTAAAAAATATTTTAAAAAATATATAGTAAGTAGATAATGCCGTTTTCTTGCTCAAAATCCTCCAGTGGCTCCGCTTACAACTAAAATCAGATCTCACATCCTTCTTTAGCCTCAAGTCCTTGCCTCTCCCTCTGTCGACTACAGCTCTTCACCTGGATCCCTCTGCTTAGCCACACTGGCTTGGTTCATCAGGCCAGTCCCCCATCATGTTCGATGGCCTATTGTGACTTTCCACCCGAGTACTCTGCTCATGGTGTCTGCTTTATTCTTGTCCTCCTAATGTAGTAATTCCTCTGTTGCAAGCATCTCCACAGAGAGAATTCCAACCTCTGCCTTCTCTAAAAATCAACAGGGTCAAAAGCTTGTACACTAATGCTTTATCCAGAAGGATTACAGTCCCAAGAAGAAAACTTTGAGTTTTGGTTTCCCTTTTTGTGTTAGTTTTGAATCACTGTGACCCACATAACTTACAAGAGCAATTTAGAGGAGAGAAAGTTTATTTGAGCTCCTGGTTTCAGAGGTTTAGTTTGTGGTCAGCTGAGTCCTTTGTTCTGGGCCCAAGGTGAGGCAGAACATCACAGCAGAAGGACATAAAGAAGCACTGCTCATCTCATGGCTGCTGGGAAACAGAGAGGGGAAAAGGGACACAGATGATATACAGGGTACACCCCCAGTAACCCACTTTCTCCAATGATGCCCACCTGCCTACAGTGACGACCCAATTAGTCCATTCAAACTAGGATAGACTGATTAGGTCATAGCTCTCACAGTCCAACCATTTCATCTGTGAATAATCCTGCATAAACACCAGAGCTTTTGGAGGACATCTCATGTCCAAAATCATAGCACTTTTAAATAAAGGAAGTTGGCCCTTCCCTTTACTTTTCTGCTGGGCTCCTGCTGTCATCCCTCTCTCCTACCCTGAGCAGGGTGTGTACTTGGAAGTTTGTAAGCCTGGCCTTCTCATCCCAAATTCTGCCTTGTGCACATTGAATTCTTAGAGTAACGAAGCCTATCTTTTTCCTATCACCAGTGCCTTTCTTGGGTCCCTTATACCATTAATCTAGCCCTGGGAGTTTGATGGGACTTTTGTCCCTGGAATAATGCCCTAGAGAAAGCTTTTATTGTACATCTCCCTGCATTTTTCCACTCACAACTCTTTTCCTATCACTGCATCTTCTCATTTATCCCAAGTTCTTAATTAAAATTCCAACTCTACACCACTTCTTCATTGCTTTGAAAAATTTCCCCAATCACAGTTATGTCTTGAATGAATACTTATCTCTCCGCTGGACACTGTTCTGTCTAAACCAAAGCTAAACACAATTATTTCAGAATGTGATTTTAGATCTAGGATTTTGAATTTATTGCCTATGTTCCCTGGATTTCTGCATGAGTCATTGAATCATCATTTAATATTATTAGACTTAGAGGAAACCTTTAACATCATAGCTCTTTTTAGATCAGAGAAACCCAAATTTCTACACATGCTAAGCATAATAAAAATGTGAACTTTTAGAATAGAAGATGGTCTTCAGAATTTATTTGTTAATGACTGCCTCCCACTCCATGCACCTTCAATTTCTACATGAAAGAGGAAGAAACAAAACCCCTGAAAGGGTGTGATTCATCCAGGCTCAGAGGGCCCAAAGGGCACAAGCAGGAGAGGGGCCCAATGTTGGGATCCCCCTGGCCACGGCTCTCCTAAGCATGAGGCTACTTCTTCAAAAAAGGGATTGGCTTGGTTTGAAGATTTACAAAGACATTTTTGGACAGGTTGCAGAATGTTAATTTATGTGAGACAAGAAAATCTGTTTTCTGTCTTTTTCTGCATTCTTTCATGACTTTTCAGTCTGACTTCTAACAGATCCCTGGGCACCTTCTGCCCAGTCCATTAGGTCCCCAGGTATAACCTGACCCACAGCCAGTATAATCTGGAGGAAGTGCCTCCTTTCCTCCTGATCCCCATGACCATATGACATCTCTGTGTATCCTAATGTGCAGCTGTAATCTGAGATGATTTATGGGAGACTCACATTGTTTGGTAGCCGTTTTTTCATCGAAATGATTGTGGCTTTGAAAAGAATTGAAATAGAAAAAAAAATTTAAAACTGATAAGGTAAAAAGTATTTAGCATTCTTGATCTTGTAGAGTATTAATAAAATTGCTTTATGCATCTAAATCTGTATGGCTGAACTTACCGGTAATTTAGGTCAAGGGCTAGAGGCAGTATTCGGAACTTATGTTCACAGTTCTTCCATTCCAAATTTATAGAATTGTGTGAAATTCAAAACTTAACCATTTTTCCCCCCAAGAATCCCGGTTGGCTACTAAGAAGCAGTGTGCTTCTAAATTCTGAAACGGGGTTTCAGGCAAATTCTGAAATTCTTTGTGTGTGAAATCTAACCTATTTTCCAATTTGTGGTATATTATTAAACCAAGAATTGCCCTGGGAAGCAAAAGCACAGGGCAATCCAAAGAGGTGTCCAAGTCTGCTGACATCTGATGCTGCCTCCCCGGAGGTTTGTTTTATTTTGTCATTCACCATTCACCTTTTTATTCCAAGGTGACTTTTAATTCCACTCTTATTTTATGCATAGTAGTCACAATCACTCACTTCAGATGTTAGCATTATCTCTAAGGGATAGTCCGTACATCTGGTTTGCAGCAACTCCATTCTCCCTCTTCTTTGGGAACCTTGAAGCACAGTGCCGTTTGCTGCATTAAATATAACTATTTCTGATCTTAGTCAATCTATAGACCCTGACTTACCCTGACCTTGAGTTATTAAAAAACAAAAACCACTCAAAGTCCTGCCTTGATTATGTAATACGGCCACTAGGCTGACTCAGGGACTTTGTGTTTGGAGCTGAGAAGAGAAATCTGCTTTTCCACACACCTTCACATCTGAGAGATGCTGAACCCAGCTACTAAGCTGTGGTGCTCCATCTTGACCACAGACTTAGAATTAAATTTCAGAGAAAGGCACAGCATGTTTCCAAATGTCCCTGCTTCCATTTAGGTCCAAGATTTCTTTTCTTAAGATGAAAAGTGCCTTCCTTCCCTAAATCCAGCTGCAGAGAATCTGGCTTCAAACCAGCCTCAAAGGTTCAGTCATGTGTAGCCTTGTCAAAGATTCATGGTGGAAGCTGAGAAAGCATCATGCTGGTAATGCCAGGGGTCACTGAGGATAAAGTAGTACTTATCCTTTGGAGTAAAAGTCATAATATCCTCGTGGAAAGTCACTTTTAGGTCTTAACCTAGGAGTCACCCAGATCTTATCCAACACCTCATTTTACAGAAGGGGAAACTGATACCAATAGCATGGATATGACTGGCTCTGGGCCGTGGTAGAGGGAGGGCTAGATCCCAGACCAAAAATCTGTGCTGGCCCATATACTGCTGTATCCCTATTAAGCAGCACAGGGGCTGGTCATAGGAGGGGCTCAGTCAAAGGAAAGAACAAATATAATACATCTTCCCCACCAGCCCTTATTCTTCCCCTTCTCTTGATATTTAACTAACTTCATCTCCAGAAAAGCCCTTCTGTCCCCTGCTGCAGGCCAAGAGAGATCCCAGGTCTGGCCATCACCAGGCTAGCCTGGCTGGGCTCTCCTTCTCCTTCAATGCCAGACTGAGGCTCCAGTATGTTTATTTAGGAGGCAGGTGCCTGGTTGTTATAAAGGTGTTTTCAGTTTATTTGGATCTTAAAAGCAGATGAACATTAAAGAGAGATTCAGAAAAGTTTGGGAGCCCCAGTAGTGAGTAGTGCCAGGACAGAGAAAACGTCTTGTTTTAGAGATGAGAAGGGACCTTCTGGTTTCAGTTTGGTCAGGCTAGACCAATGTCACCTGGAATTGCTCCTGCATGCCCAGTATCTCTTAAAAGTTTCCGCGGTTGAGAAACGTCAAAATCAGAACAGAGAAATTAAAACTTTGCTGTTTCACAGATTGTTGGCTCTCAATGGAGGGGAAATGTCACCGGACTTTGATTCCAGAGGCAGGTATCTTGTGGTCTGCTGACCTGTTTGGACTCCACAAGAGATGGAGACCCGTTGATTGAGACCAGTTATGCTCCCTAAGAACACAATCTTAAGTAACCTGTACAGGAAAGGAGCTGGGGGAGGGGGGACCCAGGGGGAGGTTGTCACCTGCTGAGCTCCAGGAGAACCTGTAACACTAGCGCTCCCCTGCCCTCTCCCCCTGCGGGACAAAGATGTCCCCAGCGTACCCGGAGTCCTAGCGCTCCGCGAGTGCGCCCTGCTGCTCCGCGCACCTGCCGCGGGCGCCGCGCGGGTCTGACCCGCAGGCAGGCGAGCGGCGCGCACAGGTGGCGGCGATTGGGCAGGCGGGGCCGGGAAGGTGACGTCACGGGCTCCGGTCCCGGCGGCAGAAATAGGGCAGCTGCCGCGGCGGTGGCACAGCAGCGGGCAGCGGCGGCTCAGAGAGCTGGCGCCTCAACAGCCTCCAGCGCGCCTGAGACCCGCGGACAGCCAGAGAGACCGACCAAAGGACGCGGGGACGGGTCGCCGCCGCCGCCACCGGGCGCTCCCTATCTCCCGCTTGAGTCAGGCCCCCTGGTCGTCCCCTCGGCCCCGGCTGCCTCAGGTAAACGGGTACAGCTCCGAAGCAGGCGCGCGGGCGTGTGTGTGTGTGTGTGGGGGGGGGTGCCAAACCGATGCCACCGCCACCAACTGGTCCTGCTGCTCCTTGATGGGGTCCCGGCGCCCCGCAGCTCCGCGTTGCAGGGCCCGCCGCGGACGCTTGCTTGTCCTTACTGCCCGCGCTGGGAGAGCCAAGTTTGCCCGCCTGGCCTCGGGCACGGGACCACAGGACCGGGGTTTGGCAGGGCTGCCGTGTCTGGGCTAAGACGCGAGGTAAAGACTGGGGTTCTCAGGCTTGTGGCTGGGTCTGCAGGGGGAGCCGAGCGACCCTTCTTGCGCGCGGGGCGGCTTGCAGAACCGCTCAAGAGGAGCCTGAAGCCCGCGTCGGGCTGCGAGACCCTGTAGACGCAGATCTTAGGCTCCGGACCCAAGGCTGCCTCAGCGGAGCCAGGCGAAGTGCAGCTCCTCGGCTCGGACCTGTGCCCTTGGCTCCGGGCTGGGGCGCGGGGCGGGCATCATCAACACCTCCTTTTTCCGGCTTTGTGAGGAAACTTACGTCTCCTCGCTGCCGCCTAAAGGGCCTGCTGCGTCTCGCCTGGCCCTTACTATCCCGAGGTCCACGGTGGAGGAAGCTGGAGAGGAAGGAACACGGACAGAACCTGGCTTTGGGTAGTCTGCGGCTCTTGTTCTGCGCGGCGGATAGCTCTTCAGAACCGGCGGCTGGTGTTAACCCTCTGGGGAGTCTCCAGGGAGCCGTTTGATCTAACATACAGGTTGGGGGCTTGGCCCTAAGAGAGATCATAGTGTGAGTGATCTCCGTCCCTCTTTGCTCCAGCAAAGAAATCATTTCCAAGTTTCAGGGGGACCTAGGGGATGCAGGCAGAGTGCTCCCTTTGGGGCGCATGCCGGCTTGAGTTTGGGGACAACTGGGTGTGAGCCTTCAGGGATCCTTGCAGCTGACAAAGCGGCTCCCCACGCGGGTTCGCCTGAGGCCTGCCACCTGAGGACTGCGTGTCCTGCAACTCTTGCACAAGCAGAAACCGTCTACCAGCAGTAGGGTTTCACAAGGTGCCCTCAACTTAGAGAGCATCCAGTTCAGCGCGCAATGGTCTACTGAAAGTTCCCGGAGAGTTGAGCTTGGTCAGGTCGGCTTCAGGGCTCAGAGAGTTGGTCTCCAGATGCGCTGTCCAGCAGACTTCCCTCCTGATAACTGTCCCCGACACTGATGAATAGCGCTTCCGCAGCCTCTCCTCTGCTCCCCTCTAGGTGTCGCTTCCGCCGAGGTTTCCGATGAGTAAAAAACAGCGCCAGCAGATTTGGTCTGTTCCTTTAGCAAATTTGTTGCAAACCAGTGCGCCAGGAATTGTACTAGATGGGACCATGAGATATCAACATACATTCATGTTCTCTGAGCAAACATAAACGGGATTTCAATAAGAGGTGACAAGGAAACTGCTAGCCAAAACATGCACCAAGATCCCCACCATTCTCTCAGGGGGTGGGACAAGAGGGATCAGGAAAAGATTAGGACTTTTATTCTTAAAAGTCCTAAGTTATTTTCCTACCACCAGCCTTTGAGGAAGCCAGAGATGATTTTTAACAGTGTCTTCTTAACCCTGGAATGGACCGGTTTCTCAGGTGACTCCTTCTGGCTTCCAGGACAGGCTCTGCACCTGTGCAGTGGCACAGCAGAAGGTTCACCCAGGAAGCAAATGGTCAGGGGAATGAGTGATATGGCTTCTATGACACCAGAGCGCCAGCATCTGTTAAGCACTAACTCAGCCCTGGAGTCAAAACCTGCAGGGCTCAGGTTTGCTTCTTGGCTCAGTTGCAGGAGGAGGCACTGCAGCACCACCAGCCCATTTCTGCCATCCTCAGCTGAATGGTAGCTTGCTTTCTCACATGTTAGAAAACAAGACAGCACCCTCTCCCAGGATTTCAGATTGAGCTAAAATTCATGCAAGAGAATAGTCCAGTTGATGTAATGTATTAAAATTCCTCATTACATTTGTCCCAGTAGCTTTCCCCCCCACTCTTAGAATTTTATGTTAATTCCAGAAATGCTTTTTTTCATCCAGGGAGGGGACAGTTTATTTTTCTGTGCATTAGGAGAACTTTTATCCCTCTGGCTATATGCCCTGTAGGTGAGTAAAGAAAGGAAAGGTTGAGTTTCCTGCTGAGACTCACTTAGTACTTTTCTCCTTTCTACTAGGGACTATAGGACTTTTTTTTTTTTTTTTTTAAGTGACCTTATGTTGTTATCTTTTGTTTGACTGAAGGCCACATTTTAGAGATTGGGATAAAGTTGTAAGGACTTCATAAAATCTATCTTGATTCATACATTGTCTCTCTTTTTTCTGCAAACTCAACCTTTTTATGTTGCTTATGTGGGGTCACCCCTACCCCTACCCCGTACTTCCTAAGTTAATGATTAGACAGTTGTTTCAAGAGCGTATCTTTTCTTACACTTTCTGTCTCTTAATGCATAACATAGAGCATGGAATGTCAAATAAAATAGATTTGTAGTCAAAAGAACATAGTACTTAAAATATATAATCTACGATCAGAGAGGTAAGGGTTATTGGAAGCCATGTGTGTGTTAAACTTAGTGGTAAATAGGAATGCCACAGATTTATGCATTTCACATTTAGGCATCTCCTTTATCAATGGTGAAAGATATAGAATAGATAATTGATAGAAAATACAATCAAACTTCATTATGGCTTGCTACAAGGTTAACCTGATATATTTCTAGACCTGTTTTTTCTGGGTTGGTGTTTTAGGGATTATCTTAGAATATATGAACCACTTTTCCTAAAAATACTCACAGATCAAAATTAGAATCCTAAGCTTTTCAGAAGAAATTTCCAGATAGCCTACTAGTTTCAGGTTGAGGTTGATACTTGCCTCCTTCAATATTGGTGGACATGTAGAAGAGGACTGCTGGGCTTTGGTGTTCCCTGGTTGATTTCCATTTGTTGATTGCTAACATGCAACACACTTAAAGTGATCTGCTACAGCAGACACTTTTTCCATTGGAAAGGCTGGGAATGCAGATGCCTCAGGGTCACAAATTTGACTGTTCTCCAAAGATGCTAAGTGGCATCACTTGTTTCTACCAGAAAAGCTATTTGTGTGGCTAATCCATAATTACTGGTCTGGACATGTTACTATGTTCTGGAAGAGAGGGCAAGAGAGAGAAGTAGTAAACAATGTCCCCCAAATCCTGAGGGACAGAATTCCCAATCCTCCCAGCAGAGCTGGCTCCCAGAATAAAATAGTTGACTTAAACCCATTGCCAATGTAATGTCTATGCTTTCCTTTGGCCACTGACTCTGTTCAATAAAGATAGCATATATGCTGGTGTGTGTTCTCTGGGAGGGGCAGATCTCAAATTATTCATATTAATACCTATTTGTCCTCTAACAATTTGCATTTTTATGTTATGCTTTTTCAATTTTTTTTTCAAAGCAAGTTGGCATTTGGAATGTTACATCATAATAATGCCTCTAAAATTGAAATTAAAAAAAGCACAGAGATCACCTTATTTTAGAGCATCAGAAAATCCTGTGGTTTTCACAAGGAGAGGGGAGGCGATCTGGCAGGGTTCTTTCAGCACCAAAAAAAGTGAAATCTATCTATCTAGGCAGAGCCTGCAAATTTACACTCTATATGTAAATTTGCAATAATGTAAGAAACGAAAGAGTTGCCCAGAAGGCAGGATGCTGGGGTTTTAGTTTAGATCTGGCCACTGGCTTGGTGACTTCCACAACCCTGTGGTCTCTGGTGTCTGGTGTGGGCAGCAGTCAGGCTAGCACCTGCTTTTCCTAGGCACGTACAAGTGTTGTGGAAAACCACGGAGGAAGCGGTTAAGGACCTCTGCCAAACAAGATGTCTTAACTTGTACTTCCTGAGTTGTTTAGAAGGAAAGGTAGTCCCAAGTTTTCCTTTGAGGACAGTCCTGGGTGGCTTTATAACTAACTAATACTTAGGACTCAGGATCCAATGAAACTTTTAAACCTAAATTAATCTCAAAAGGAGCTCCAGGTTGAAAGACAGAGTGTGTGACCTTATGAATGGCACCTTCCCAGTTATCTAATGGGAACATTCTTGTATTTTTCCTTCCTCTGAAACCCCATAGGGCTATTTGACCTTGAGAAGTAATTAATTTGGTAACAAATCTACTTTCTCAAAGCTACGGGTTCTTCTTGTGAGCTAAGGGGCATCCTGCATCTTTGCTGCTCAAAATTCTGTGAATTTTATCATGGATTTTTTTAATTACATTTTTTTTCTTGGCCTATAAATAAAGCAGCAATGAGGAGTGTGTACCAAGTGGCCCCTGCCCTGGGGCAGGACGACAATTTGGCTCTTTCCCCTTGCTCTGCCTTGAGTAGAGCCATGCTAACTCGAGGAGGTCAGGTCTTGGCAGATTTCAAAAGCAAGGAGAGACTGGGGACTCAGAGCTGCCAATCTTGCTTTATATAGATTTTCCTCATCACACCCAAAACAACTATTTATCAAGATAAAATATTGCTAAGGGTCGAGAGGCAGCATAGGATGGGGGTTAAGAGTATGGACCATGGTCCACCTGCCTGGCTTGGAATCTCAACACTGCCACTTATTTGCCACATTGCTTGGACAGAGTACTTAACCTTACTGTCATCATGTTTCCTCTGTCATCAGAACGGGAGATAATCATTGCCCTCCTCATGGAGTAGAAAAAGAGGATTGTGAGTTAGTACCTCTAAAGCATTTAGAACAGTGCCTGACACATTGTAATTGGTATGTAAGTGTTAACCAAATGGACAGTCTCTATTTGGTTATTAGACAGATCATCAAAATTGATTTAGACCTAATATTAATTCTTTTTATGAACCGATCTGTCATAAAATTCGAGTTATAAATTTTTAGGATTTTGCTGCCATAGATGGAGTGAATTGTCAATCACCATAAGTATAAAATGACATCTAAAGCACATCCACTGTGCAAATGAAATCAGAGCTGGTGATGGCCAAACAGATCTCAATTTTACAAAGAAGCTCCCTAGGAGTATCTCAGGGATTAGCCTGGTTCCTGTTTTCCCTGTCTTCAAAAAATAACTTAACAGGGAGCCTCAATGCAAACCAGATAACACCAGTGGCAACTCCAGGTAAAAAGCAAGGGCTGAGCATAGGGTTTCTGAAACACAATTCAGAAACCAGCTGGTTAACACCCTGAAGGTACCTCTTCAATGAAGTGATTTAGTATTTGCCAAAATGACAATTGAAATGAAAGGATTTTATTTTGAAGCTATCCATGAATAATAAAACATCAGACATAATTGGCTTTAGATTACTAGGCAAATTGAAAATGAAATACTGGACTTTGTAACTTGTTTATTTCATAACTCCATGAATTGACATCTGTATGTTAACCAGAATAAATTCTGATTATATTGCAGTTTTTAGTTTATTTGGGCTAGGAGGCATGAAAAGGGAGAAAAGGAGGCTTTTAATATGTGTGCTTTACCCCATGAGCAATGTTTGATATTGGATAAGTAGGGGAAATTTCATTAAAAAAGCAGGAAGCAATGTCTTTTTAGTTTTAGCTTGAGATACTCTGGCTGGCTTTTAAAAATTACAAAAATCCAAGATCGGCAGTCTCTGGAATGTGTCTGTGTGTTCATAAGAAGATAATTTATGAGGAGTAGGGAGTTGCCCTATTTATTTTTAGAAAAACCGGTTGCAATATGGGAAAGATATTTTTACTCTCTTTTAGTCCTGAGTATGGTTTCTTTCCCCAACTCCTCCTCATCTTTGTTAGAATTCACCCACCAAAGCCAGAGCCTTGGAATTAGGAGCACAGAGTTGGGCACCAGCTGCTAATGCTACAAGCCATGCCCAGGCAGCTGTTAATGCTACAGGCCACGCCCAGGCAGCACCGGAAGTTGCGCCATGCCACTCTACTCTGCTGTCTTCAGGGTGCAGAGCAGGTGTTGAGGCTGTGACCTTCAGATTACATTGACTGGCCCCCTGGACTACTTCCCAAGTACCTTAGCTTTGCCAACAGATGTCAAAGATGAATGACTGAAGAAATAGATGTAGGAGCAGAAACCTCTGGACTCTTTTTGAAACCAGGAGACATCTTTTCTTAAAAGATAATCATCTCTTACAATCTTGCCTTTTCGTAGGCCAGTGTTACATACCCATAAATTTTAATCTGACTTCTCTTCCCTGTGGGCATTTCTGTTTCAAACTTGGGACATAAAGCCAACATGAAGATGCAGCTCTATTTGGGTGTGGAAGGCAGCCAAAAGAAACCAAGATGTGACAGGAGTGTATTTGTTTAGTGGCCCTAGCTACAGCACCAGTGATCCGGTGACAGCCCCTACCCCTTGTCTAGAGTAGGCATCCTTCAAGGCTGTTCCTTTCTCAAGCTCTAAAGTCTCACAAACACCCAGTTATTTCTGACTCAGACACCTGCTCTGGCTTAGTCCTGGGCCAGGTCACACCAGTTGTTGGTCTCCAAAGAGCTCTGTGTCTTTCATCTCACCAGCCAGGATCAGGGTACAGGACATGTAATTAAGCACTAAATTGTGTGATGCATGTGGAAATCAATAACCCCTCAAGTTTCCTGGAGTAAGAGCTGTGGGTACTGTGTTGTGAGTTCTATGTGGCTCTGTCTTAGACAGATACTAAAATTATGGTTGGAATATATTCACAGTGAAAATCCCTTATTTAGAAAGTCCAGCTAATTGGACTAATTGCATAGTCCATGTTCTCATTATCCTAGCACAGTGCTTACTTAGCACATGGTAGGAACTTAAACATTCTTGGTAGCCAATCCTTGGTTTTATCCATGTAATTATTTGATTAACTTGAATTGCCCATCTCTTTTCTTGAAGGTCTTTAGACAATAATGTTAGAAAGGGAGTCTCAGGAAACACCTTAAAGATTATTGAAATTCTATTTTCATTCATTGCTTGCATTCAACTACAAACATTACTGGTTTTCAAACCAAAATAATGGAGCTTATGATGCCATTTTTGAAGCCCATCATCTTGTAAACTGAGGTGTAATCCACAATCAAGTTGACATAAATTAACAGAATTCCTCATGAGCATTTTTTGAGCACCAATTGTGTGTGTAGTCCCAAATGCTTTCTGGGGAAACCGAGGCATGAACATGCCTGATGCAGGTAGTCAAGCTGTCTCTTTCTGGTTTGTTCTTATCCATGTAGTAGCAGATGGCATTTCCAAGTGGAACTCTACATACCCACCAGCATTTACAGAGTTCTGGTGTGTGACACCAGCATCTTTGATTCTTACAGCAACCCTATGAGGTACACAGTATTGCCCCCACTTTAGAGGTGAGAAAACTAAGGCACAGAACTCATGCATCTTCTCCAAAGTGGAACAGAAGGATTGGTGCTGGGCTTTAAACTCGGGTTAATCTGATTCTGAACACGTACTAACTTGTTGTGACTTGTTATGCATTCTGCAAAACTTAGTGCCAGACGTTTGTCATTTTCTCAACAGACTGAACAAAATGAAACCAGGAAGCTTTTGGCTGCATCTTACACTGCTTGGGTTCTCCCTGCCAGCTGCGCTGGGATGGATGGACCCAGGAACCAGCAGAAACCCGAACGTGGCTGTGAGGGAGTCACAGGCAGAGGTATGTTCAAACCACTGCTGACATGACATTGCCAGCTGATTGCTTTTCCATGTTATAGTATCTGATTTCCTTTCCACCTTTAGTTGAGATCAGTTAGAATACTGTGTGAATTAAAATTGCATTTCCTTTTTGGTGGTAGGGGACAGAAGGCGGCAACATGAATTGATGAAGACACGAGGCTTGTATCTCACACACTACAAATTCATTCCAAGCTGTAGTTAACACAGTTAGTCTTTCACAAAGACCCTCAAGAGAATGGCCGTTCTGTATATTTAATACAACTCTGAAAATGCAGACTAATTGGTGGAACACACCCATGCGAACTAATGAAGTATTTGAATTATAAAGTAGATTTTAAAAAGAAATGGATGACTTTTCAGGTATATAGATAAAAAGAACCAGGCTGAGAGAGAACTGGCAAGTCAAGATCCTAAGGGAGACTGGTTTAATGAACAGATAAGAATGATTAATGGCATGTTAGGTATATATAAATGATTCTAAAGTGCTTGAAAAACTTGTTCTTAAATACCTCCCTAGAGGGTCTGGTTATATCGCTAATTGCTTAGTGAACTGGTCTTAAGTACTGGAGAGGATTCATAAACTGCAACCTCACCCTGCTGAGGGTAGTGGGCCCCATGAATTCATGGAGAGGTTCACAAGGATGCAGGTTTTCTTCAGAAAATGCCTTGTGTGTGCTAAACCTTATGAAATGACTTACACCTTTTCATTAAAACCAACTGGGATCTTCTGTATGCAGTGACAGATACCAATTCTCAGGGAGCTTTTCAGGCATTCTTACTTCCATTTTCTTACTTAATGCATGCCTGTATCCTTTTTTCCATACTTATATCCTGTCCTGAGGAACAAGAAATAAAAAATACCTTGAAAAGTCAACATTGCCAGGGAGTGAATAACGGTACACAGTGTACAGTAGGATTAATGCACTTATTTGCTCAAACGACATGACTTCTCTTTCATTATTACTTAATTGTCATGCAATCCCCAAACTGCAAACCTTAGTCTTTGGGGAGCTTCAGAAGTAATTTAGCATACACTTTTCTTGCTGAGGTTGGTGTGGTGTGCTTTTGTGACCTGCTGATGATTAAATAGAAACACTATCTCTCCCATCTAAATCCATGAAGAATGCACCTTAATGCTCCTTTGAAAGAGTCTGGTGGCCTACGTGCAGGTGAGAACAGCTTTCCCATGTGGGAAGGGCTTAATCATTAGACTCATATTCCAGACAAAGGAAAAATGATCCCTGAAATCCTACAGTTATATGTGGAATAGTTTTTGTTTTGTTTCGTTTTTATTGTGGAGTAGTTAACAGCAAGGCAAACCTACAGAGAGGCTCAGGCTTCTTATTGTAGGGGCTCATTGGCTCACTGTCTTCAATCACTTATCTCAATTAAGAGTCAAGCCAATTAAGGTGGGATGTAGCTGGAGGTAAATGGAAGGTAAGTTAAAATCACCTCTAGGGCCTTTTCATCTGAGCTGTTTACACCTTAACACTTTGTGTACTAACCAGAACCAGCCACTGCTCCTCCTCCCAAGGAAGGAAGACTTTTATGTTAGGAGTATTTCTGTCCCTCAGCTGTTAACCTCTCGAGTGGCTGCCTCAAGTGATGTTTCTTCCAAACGCAGGAACAACTGCTCATACTTCTTGGCTCTAGATTTCATTTTTGTGGTGTTTTAACTTCTACTCATTGAGTCTGTTTCTATTCACCATGAATGCAGTGATGATAATGTAAATGGTCCAAGTACATAGGATGGTCTCTGTAAATATTTAGCTCCAGTGAGCAAGGCATTTGTTTTAATGCACTTGGTCACGAACTATGCATGTCCCCTGTGCTCTTACTCACTAGGGTCCTGATGTGCCACCCTGTCCCTTCTTTCACATATCTGAGTCTTTCCCTGCTCCAAGGTAAATTCTGGTTCTTACCTTTTCTCTAGAAACTTCTTTGACTGCTCTTTGTCACATTTGGTCCCCCCCTTTCTGAACTCTTGGTCCTTTTTCTCTTCTCTTCTTCCTTTGATATTTTTAGTTTAGCATGTGGATGAAACCTGTCTTATTTATCTTTCCTCTTCCTCCCTGTGTCTAATAATTTTATGAGGAAAATAGAGGCTTCATGAATTCCAAAGCCAATCAAGGCTTAATGCAGCACTCAATCCTGGTCATGAGAGCTTCCAAAATTCAGACTAGACCATCAGGTCTTTAAGTGGGTGACTGCCTATTGCACCTGGCAGGTTTGTTTCTGGTGGGGACGAGAATGGTCTCCCTGCAGGCTGTGAGCTATTAACATACCTATAACTCACTGTCCAGACCCAGTTATAGTCCTTAGGCAGTTTCCTAAGACAGCTTTATTTCCTAGAAGAATCAAAACCAGAGTTTCCCGAGACCTGAGACTCAAAATAAGTTAAAAAAAAACAACAACAACCTTGACTTTTTTAGCAGTAAATATTGAAATGTTTCCATGAGTGTTTTCTTCCTGATAGGAGTTCCTCACAAAATATTCATTAAGATGTTTGAAGTACTTAGAAAGCATTAATAAGATTTGATTTGTCTTTAAAGTTATTATACCAATTACTTGAACGTCCTAAGGGTAAATAAGGATTAAATGACCAATGTGCGTGTGTTCACATACTTTTAAAGCAGTTATAGCAAGTGTGAATTTTATTAAATTATTGTTTTACGTACAAAGACTGCAGTTGAAGTAGCTTCAAGGAGTTTATCATTTTACAGATGTAGATAAAAAGAAATGTAGCTGGGTGGAGTGCTTCTTTAATAAGAGCTGAGGAGGAGAACGTAGCTTCGAATGCTAATACAATTCTGGAATCAGAGGAAACAATTCTGAGAGATGCAACTTATTGAAATTCTAAAATATCATTATATTCTCCTCCTTTCCCCAACACTCTGGCTAAGATTAATATACTGTAGGCTAAGCATCCCTAACCTGAAAATCTGAAATTTGACATGACATGTTGGTTGAGAGCCAACACCACACCACAAATGGAAAATTCTACACCTGACCTTGTGAGATACTTGTGGTCCAAATGCAGGTGCACTAAAAATACTGTATACAATTACTTCAGACTATATGTATGTAAAACAAATGAAATTCATGTTTAGACATGGATCCTGTCCCCAAGATATGTATGTGTGTGTGTGTGTGTGTGCATGTGTGTGTGTGTGTGTGTGTATGCAAATATCAAAAAAAAAAATTCAGGATCTGAAACAGTCTTGGTACCAGGTATTTCAGATAAGAATACTGAACGTGTAGTAAAGTCAATATCAGAATTTTATATTTTGGGGAACCAGGAAAACATGAGAAGTGATGTGGTGATAGACACAGAGAGCTGGCCTACTCTTGAGAGGTAGGGATTTGTGGCAGGTCCCCTTGTCCCTGAGTGTTCCAGCACCAGTGTCTGACCCAGTTGCTGGGTGATCTTTAAATAATCTTACACAGCCTTCTTTAATTTCACTTAACTTTTTCTACATGATTCTTGCCATGGGGTATTTTTACATACTAAGCAACTGTAAATATAAATGCTAATGTTTATTTCTCTTAAAATTGTTTTCTTCATATGCCTTGGGGCTTACAGACCAGCACTTTGGGATCAGATGCCACGTTTTCAATATTTGCAAACTTTCTAAAAGATTATAAGGGGTGTACATGGAAGGTGGTATCAGTTAACTTCAGTTATGGTTTGCCTACTTCCTAGAACACGTTCTCCTCCTCAGCTTTTGGGGACATTTAACATCCAAACCATGAGGGGGTCAGCCTAAGAAAGCACTGGTCCTCCCCTGACAGGCCAACCCTTTTTGCAGATGTGGGCCCCAGACACAGTGCAGAGGTGCCACTCCTGTCTCTGCCAGGGCAGCTTCAAGTTGTTGGCTCCCTAAAGCTCTCAGGCTTCTTCCTGCCTTGGTGGGGCATTCAGGTGTATATTAATCTTTAAAAAATATTTCTTTATTCTTATACATCTTATTGCCTTTAAGAAAATGCTACCCATCCTTTCTAGCAAAGTCCTTCCTGGGATTCTTGGGGTAGAATTGCTGGTGGTCTGTGAGGTTTGAGGTCCACCCCTGAGTGTCTTGAATCACCCTTGTGCTCAGCCTGTCTATGGGCATGAAAAGAAGCTCCCTCCTGCCTGTGAACAGATGGGTTCATGCTGGGTGCTTGGTGTGCTCTTACATCTCACCTGCAGCTCTGGCCTACAAGCATCTCTCATGTATTTCTGTAGTATTGCCTTTCCTAAGCACTACTGTATGGACTGGAGTACTGGACTCAAAGAGTACTGGATTCAAAGCCTTTCAAAGAATCTGAGACTCTGGGAGAGGTCCCTCAGCACGGGGTGGAATGGCTCTAGGGTTGCCAGATGCATCCTGTTCTTCAGGATCTGCATTTTGACTTCAGGTGTGGTGCCCTGGCAGGGTCTTCTTCTTGGTCCCAGCACTTAGCCATGGCTCTCTGCTGACTTTGCTTGGTGTCAGGGTATGTTAGACAGCTTTCTGTCAGTGAAAAAAATCCCTAGGAGAAATTTAAGGAGGAAACATTTGTTTTGACCCATGGTTTTAGAGGCTTCAGTTCATGGTCACTTGGCCCCCTGGACCATGGTCTTGTGGTGAGGCAGAGCATCATGGCAGAGACTGAGGTGGATAGGGAGAATCTGGAGTCCCAATATTCCCTCAGGGTGGGGGGCATGCCCCCAGTGACCTGCTTTCTCCAATAAGGCCCCATTCCTGAAGTTCTCATTGCCTCCCAATAGTGTCACCAGCTGGGGACCTTTAATCCATAAGCTTTTGGGGGACATTTAACATACAAAGCATGAGACAAGATGAGAATTTTAGTTTCTCAGGTTAAGTGGGGAGAGTGCCACCTCCCCGTTGCAGATGAGTACATCCGTCATTTTCAAGGTGAAAGATGGCAGCAGATCCTTCCAAGGGTGTCCCTAATGACAGAGCTAGCATGTGCTGTGCCCTGCCCCAGTGCATCCTG